CAACATTTTTAGCTATCAGGGAAGTGTAAATGAAAACCACAAAGAAACATCATTTTACACCCACTAGCGTAGCTATAATCAAAAAGACATAATAGGTGTTGGCAAAATGTGGAGAAATTGGAAACCTCATACATTTCTGATGGGAATATAAAATGATGTAGGAATATTCCACTTTAGGAATAGTCTGGCAGCTCCTCAGAAGGTTACACATTGGGTTATCATATGACTCAGTAATTCTACTCTTAGGTACATACCCAAGTGAATTGAAAAGATACATCCACACAAACACTTATACATAAATGTTTGTAGTAGCATTATTCATAATAGCCAAAAGTACAGACAACCCAAATGTCCATCAACTGACAAATGGCTAACTAAAATGTGATATAACCATATAACGGAACATTATTTGACAATAAAAAGGAATGAAGTACAGTCATACCTCATTTTATTGCACTTTGCTTTATTGTGCTGCGCAGATACTGTGTTTTTGTACAAATTGAAGGTTTTTGGCAACCCTGCAATGAGCAAGTCTATTGGCACCATTTTTCCAACAGCATTTGCTCATTTCATGTGTCTGTGTCACATTTTAGTAATTCTTGCAATATTTCAAACTTCTTCATTATTATTATATTTGTAATGGTGATCTGTGATCAGTGATCTTTGATTTTATTATTGGAAAAAGACCACGATTCGCTGAAGGCTCAAATGATGATTAGCAATTTTTAGCAATAAAGTGTTTTTTAATTAAAGTATGTATGGTTTTTTTTAGACATAATGCTCTTGCACACTTAATAGATTACAGTATAGTGTAAACATAACTTTTGTATTCACTGGGAAACCAAAAAATTTGTGTGACTCTCTGTTGTAATACTCGCTTTATTGTAGTGGTCTGGAACCGAACCTGCAGTACCTCTGAGGTCTGCCTGCACTGATGCATGCCACAGCAAAGATGAACCCGGAAAATATTATGCTAAGTGAAAGAAGCCAGTCACAAAAGACCACATACTGCATGATTCCATTTATCCCAAATATCCAGAATAGGCAAATACATAGAGATAGAAAGTAGACTAGTGGTTGCCAGTGGCCGGCGGGAGGGAATGGGGAGTGACCACTGAGGGGTACAAGGTTTGTTTCTGGGGCGATGAAAATGTTCTAAAATCGTGATGGTGGTTTCACAGCTCTGTGAGTCTACTGAAAGCCACTGAATTATTTTTTAAGCCACTGATTTATTTCTTTTAAGCAATATAACATTTTTCAATCTGACTTTTCTAAGATTTTATCTTCTTCTGACAGTCTAAGTCAATCTTCTAAACACCGGAGCACCTCGCACAATTTTTCATATATAGAGCAGAAGAGTGGTCTCTCCTCTGAACCAGATAAAACATAAAGCAAGTTTTACTAATTGTAAATCTATTTGTAGAACTAATTATAGTTTAACCATATATTTTTTAAACTGCCAAACAATTCAGTGATAAATATCAAATGCCATAAAATATCTGTATCTCACTTCCATGAGTTTCCATTACATACACAAAACCTATATGTGTTCTATAAAAATGCTTATAATATTTATTGAAAAAAGTATGTATACATTTTATGTTACTATATAAGCAATTATATAGAAATGCCTATTCACATCCAAAAGACCTAGAAAAAATAGGCAAAAATGATAGTAGCAGTTCTGTAAAAATGTCAGAATTCTTGGTAAATTTTTAAAGCTTTCAATAAAATTGTCATTTTTTTCAGTTGAGAAGAGAAAAATTTCCAATGAAAGTAAGAACAAGCTTTTTGCATATCACTGGTCAATAAGCCAGAAGCTATTCTTTAAATTAAATTCATCCCATGCTGAATTTGTAATCCCAGAAAATGTTTGACTGTCTTTATCCACCCAACAGACATGATTTAAAACAATAGTTATAATCAACTCTTCTCCCCTCCCCTCTGCGAAGTCTCCCAAACTAGGCCCAGGGAGACCCCCTCTGGAGATGAGAGAGAAGTTCAGCTTAACCTGTGCCCACATGGCTCCAATATTCAAAAACTCTCTTTTAAAATACCTGATTTAGTGACTCTCTGTGTGTCCAGCGTATGCTAGCCAATCACTGGAAGCAACATAATCAGCCACACTTTATTAAATGATGGGGAAGAATTTCTCATCCAAATCATCAAAAAAATGGAGAGTGAATTTACTTGGGTCAAATCCATTTGGCCCAATTTATCTTGCTTGAACACAAAGACTGTTCAGGAAAATACCTGTTGTAAAATGAATTTCTGCTTCAGTAAAGTGTTAATGAAAACACGGATCACCCATAACCCTTGGAGGACCAAGTTCATTTATTTATAGATATAAAATATAAACCTACTTTGAATTTTAACAATTTATCTTAGCAATTCTTTACTGCTGATATTGACTCCATATTTTAAATACAGACAATACAAATTACAAATTTAAAAAATGCATACATGGAGGATATAACAGTTTCCTATCATCAGCTACTGTAAATCACCCCTATTCGTATTTTACCCTATGTGCAGCTCCCTATTCAGTGATTAGGATCCAAAGAGATGCTAAAGGTTATCCAGGTCTGCAGAGAACTATACATAGTCAGAAAGGACAGAAACTTCAGTGGATAGCTATTGATAACACTAGCCCACAAAAAGTGCCCAAAGAATCATTCCAGTGAATTTTCCTTCATCCAGGAAAAGCACTGATCACTGTGGGATGGTTGGGCTAGGGATACAGGCTAAGCTCTTTTCAAGGATAGCATTTGGACAGGTGAAGAGGAAGGAGGGAGACTCTATACTGAGAGCCTGGTGTGAGCAAGGGCACCGAGGTAGACAAAGTGAATAGGTCAACGTAGCTGAAGACGAAGGATGAGCTAGAACATTCTGCAAAGGTACTAAGGCCCAAGGTAGATCTTTCAATCCAGGCCAAGCACTGGGTGCCCTTCTCTGGCAATAGGAAACCATAGGTAGGGAAAGCAGTTATAATATTACATTGATCAAGATTTGAAGTAACAAGTCCTGATCCCAAATGGCAGAAGTGAGAATGAAGAAAAGGAACTTGAGAGACTTTATAAAAAAGAAAGGAAAAAAAAAATCAAAGAATTTGGTCTTTGTCTCTTATCTAGTCAATTATTAGGAAGAAAAGAAAAAAAAAAGACAACATCATGGTTTCAAGAAAACTCCAAAGTTCAAAGAGGTTTAAGGAGGAAGTAAGATTAGTTTTGCAGAAACAGCAGGAATATGTTTTAATAAAAGAGCAGATGAGTCACTCTCATATTGTTATCCTATTGTATTTTTTAATGCAATATACAAAAATATAAACTTACAAAATATATAATTTAGTGGGCAAGTCTTGCATTGCCCCCACCCAAAAAAGCTACACATGGGGTTAATTTAAATAACATTGTACTTCCAGCCTAAAGTGTTTACAAATAAATACATAATTACCTGGGGCTTTTTTTTCCTGTCACAACACCACAGTTCTCACACACACACACACACACGTACACCCACTGGAAGATACCTTTATAGGCTACTGGTTATACAAGTCCTCCTTTAACTTAACCACTGGTCACATTATTAGTAAGCTTCCTCTGTTCCTTTATGAAACTGTTTTTAGGGCTCATATTGTGTGTAAATGGACAATCTAAGCATTCCGACCAATTTATGAAAACTCTTAGACCAAAAAGAAAGTCTCAGACATACAAAGGAAAAGTTGTATTTCTGATTTCCTCATAAGCATCCTTCAACGCCCTATAACCAAAAGTCCAGGTAAGACTTTATGCTTGAAGCAAGGAAGTGAGAAAATAACATGCTAACTGTGGTCTTACAGTGAATGTAGAAGTCTGACCCTAAAACCCATGCTGCTCCCTAGCATATTATACTGTGCAACCACTATTCTGGGGAGTCTCCAAAGAGTCCCATGAATTTCATAAATCTTTCAAAACAAAATATATTTCATTTATATTCATCTAAAAAATAAGTTTTATATAAATATAAATACAAAGTATAAATACTGATATAAATATGGAGTGATACCATGTATCACTCCAGTAAGAAGAAGGGAAGAAGCAGAAACTTACAGACTCACAGTATGTTTGGATTATGTGTCACTCATTCAACAAAAATTTATTCAGTATCTACATGCCATGCACTGTGCTAGGCTTCAGGAATATGATGGTGAGAGACACCTGACTATCCTCCCTTTTATGACACTTAACCACTTGGCAGGAGATGCAAATATTCATCAAAAGATCTCCCTAATAAATGTGTAAGTACAAACCGACCAGCGCTATGATGCTTTGAAAGTATGAAAGAATGGGGATCACTGGGTAGACATCAGCAGAATTTAGTGCAATCAAAAGGAGAATTCTGAAGCATAAAGTTATGAGTAAGTAAAGTGATAGTGCTTTAATTAATAGAACTGCCTAATTCCCTATAGCAGAACTGTAATGGTAATAGAAGCTATCAAGAGAAAAACTTCCTGGACTATTGGGCTATAAAATGTAGTTAGGCAACTAATCCTTTTACATTATTCCAAAGAGCCATCACAGTGACTTCTTTACTTCATGTGGGTACTCCACCATTCAAGCATTAATTAAAATTCACCCCAAGACAAAGTGCTCTGGGGCCTTTGGGCACATTCACACGGAACATAATGTGGCTCTAGGTGGTATTTTGGCATCTTTAATTTCCTGAACTAAAGAATGCTTATTAAAAAATTAAATTTGAGTAGGAAGCACTCCTGTGGTTCCCCTCACTACTCTGTAAAGCATTTCATCTAGCGCCGTTCCATTTGGATCATTTCTAGAATCAAACATGACATGCGTGTAACCTCTGAACTACAGAATGTCAGTTCTGCTCCCTGTACGTCTCCCTCCCTCTTGCTCCCATGCTCAGCCTTTTCCTCCCCTGCCACTCCCAATCCATGACCCCTGGTCCATGATCAGCAGTCAGGATTCAGGGCTGAGGGTGCTCAGGGGGACAGTACTTACTTTCTTTCCTCAAGCAGGGCGATTTCCTTTTTAACTTCACGGTATTCTTCTGCTATCTGGCAGTGCTGTTTGAACACCTGCATGGATTCCATGGAGTCATGACAAGGCGGCAGAGGCTTCACAAACAACAAGAAGAAGAAATTAGTCCATTTCCTTGTAGCAGAATAAATTACCAACCATCGTGCTCTACTGATGTTCTTTAGAAGGAGAGTTTTTGCATGAGAATAGCACTGTCAACCCTCATTGGACAGAGTTCAGCTGATTCTACTTGACTACAAATAGAGAAGTGGTCTGATCCTCCCCACATGTATCTTTCTGTGTTATGCCAGGGCATTCTCAGGCCCAAGCCAGAGCCATGAGACCCATTACAGATCAGTTACCTGCCATGCGCTGGAGGAAAAATAAGTCCCCTAATAATTCTGTACTTTTCCCCAGAAATCTTAGACTCTGCTTTAGAGAATTAGTGATGGGGAAATAGTTCAGTTATCTGTTTCAATCCCCCCCTTGTTTTCTGTTCCTGTAGCTCTATCAAATCTTGTAGAGTGGAGGAGCCCTACAAGAAAGGAATCCAATGAATTTATTCATAAAACAAAAATAGTCACAGATATAGAAAACAAACTTAGTTACGAAGGGAGAATGGGGCGGTGGGTAAATTGGGAGATTGGGATTGAGATATACACACTACTATATATAAAATAGATAACTGGGCTTCCCTGGTGGTGCAGTGGTTGAGAGTCCACCTGTCGATGCAGGGGACACGGGTTCGTGCCCCGGTCCAGGAAGATCCCACATGGCGCGGAGCGGCTGGGCCTGTGAGCCATGGCCGCTGAGCCTGCGCGTCCGGAGCCTGTGCTCCGCAACAGGAGAGGCCACAGCAGTGAGAGGCCCGCGTACCCCAAAAAAAAAAAAAAAAAAAAAAAATAGATAACTAATAAGGACCTACTGTATAGCACAGGGAGCTCTGCTCAATACTCTGTAATGACCTATATGGGAAAAGAATCTAAAAAATAGTGGATATATTTGTATATGTATAACTGATTCACTTTGCTGGACACCTGAAACTAACAAAACATTGTAAATCAACTATACTCCAATAAAAATTATTTTTAAAAAAAGAAAGGAATCCAAACTGAAAAAATGATGCTGGCCTGGAAATAATGCTTGCAAGAATTAACAAAGCATATGAAAGACCAAACCCCAAATAAAACGATGCTTATAAAGCGTGTGGCCAAAGAGAACAAGGCTTCCTGTCTTTGCTTCTCTCCCATCCATGAGGGAAACAGAGGCCAGCATTCAAGCCTTTCTAACCGAAACATGTTGAAAATCTTCTTTCCAGAAATTACTTTTAAAGAACTAGCTTTCCCTGAGTTTGTAATCCTTAGCTCTAATTAGTGGCACATTATTTCTTTTTTTAAAACATCTTTATTGGAGTATAATTGCTTTACAATGGTGTGTTAGTTTCTGCTCTATAGTGGCACATTATTAAAAGCATTACTTGGAGAAATACTAGCTAATAGTCTTTTAAAGAGTGTTTTAATCCCCTTTTTCAATTATTTATAGAAAAATGTTATATAATATCTGAGAAATATGACTTAATTGCTAAATAGGCTCTTCTGTCTAATCCTCTCTTCACAATAGTCTTTATATGTAAACTATGTGTCTGACTAGGTCATAGTCTCACTAATTTTATATTAATTAATTTATACTAATGAATTTCTTACTACTTGCTCCTCTCACTATATATTCTTCCAGGACACAGATTTCTTTGGGTGTCATATTCAGTGACCTCACCCAGGATGCAAAAGAAATTCTGGAAAGTTCTACAAAATTCTATAAAATCTGATTGATAAGTAAGATGACCCTTCCTATTTATCATGAAGCCTCTGAGTAGAGATCTTCTAAAGGAAATAAAATTTGAAATAGACTTGGATGAAATTAACCTTTATGTGGAACATCTGTTGTGTTCTAATCCATGGAAATTCATCTAATAATTATATTATGTAGCATCTTTCCCTACTGCCCCATGAACATATTCACAGCATAAACTCAGCCTGTTGGAGCCATTACCTCTTTCTATAGTGAAATAAATTAAAAAGTAGTGCCCGGGAGTATTACAGTACAACTCACCACAGGAGATAAAGGCATTGCCAAAGGCATTCAGAACTCCTGGGTCCTCCAATCCTAGAAATCACCACCCCCTCATCAATTTTCACCTGTTACACTGGCAAATGACCAGGTATAATAGTAAGGGGAATGAAAGCAATTTACTCTGGGCACACTCACCAAGCTGCTATTAAACCATCTGTGCCCTGTTAAAGGACTTGCATACTGGTAAGCCCCAAGACTCAACGTATCCTATTTCCTGTCCTCATGAACACTCATAAACTACACCCAGTCCAGCCCATAACTTGCCACATGGAGGTACCTGAACCACAAATTCAGCATAGTTACCTATGTGACAGCCGGAAGATTTTAGGAGTCTGTGTTTGCATGCCTAAGAGGATACAGATAAGAGCAGCCATGGAAAGGGAGAAATACCCTTTGCCGCTATAATTTAAAAGAAAAACTGAAAAATTACAGCTAATAATTTTCTTAAGAAGAGAGAGTCCTCTTTTCCCCCTTGGCTTGCCAACCTGCAATGCTTTTTACTAAGGGGGAAATGTTTTCATGACTTCTTTTTTCATTGGCACTATTTAATTGTGGGAAATTTGAAGATGTTTTTATGTACAGGTAACATGATCATGCTAAGGGGACATTAGGATATAGAGTATTTCAGGATATATTCAGTATCCTCATATGTTCTCAGCAGGAAGATCATGCTATACGTCACAATATTTTCAAGATTGCCCACAATTAAGAAGTAGTGCCAATTTTTTAAAAAGCCAAAAATACTTAGTGTTCAGTGTTTCAGGGAGTAAAAGGATGCCAGGTGTCACTTCAGTTTCCGGCTCCTAAAAGCTCTGTCTATACCCAGCCTGACATGTAACTCAGCAGCAGTACATACATGTTCTTCCAATTTGTATGAAAGCATTAAAGAACAAAATTAATTATTTTTTAAGCAAGAAGGGAAGTTATATTGCACAACACACCACAACACTGTAAAATTATCTCATTAGTTGCCAGGGGCTGGGGGTGGAGGGGAGGTGAGTAAATGAGGAATTATTATTTAATGGGTATAGAGTTTCAGTTTTGCAAGATGAAAATGTTCTGGAAATTGGTTGCACAACAATACAAATAAGAAAAAAAACAATATGCATATACTTACCACTACTGAACTGCACACTTAAAATTAAGAAGAGAACATTTGTGTTATGTGTTCTTACCACAATAAAAAAAAAAGTTTAATGCAAAAAAAAGTATCATTAGATCCTTCTGCTGCCCCCAGCCCATCTTCTAAGCATTGCTACCAGGATTCCCTATCTGAGACTCACTTCATTCACACCCTACCTTTCTCTCCTTCCCAAATTTCTCCCCAGGAAACTTAAAATTTCTCACCCCTTTATAATTCGGAGCCATGTACCACTAAACCCAAACGTTGCTGGACAAATCAAAGTGCCCTCTGATCAGCAGGACCCACTGTTCTTAGAAAGCCATTTGACATCATTGGATGTTTACTCCAGTTCAGGAAACTCATCAAAGAATTTTTTAAACACATATTGTTCTCATCCCAATAGGAATTTACCTGATATAAAAAGTAGAACTATAGAGTAATGAAATGTATTGTCCTGCATGACATAGCACACTCTCATTGTTTCATGATATAATGTGGGTTTGTGTGTAGCATCATAAGGTCCTCACTGAGAGTGACTCTCTCTTACCTTCTTATAAGCCCTGAAAACAGGAGAAAATATATGACCAACAGGGTTCACTGAATAAAGTGTTTACCCGAGGAAATAGGTTCCTAAAATTCAAGCACATGAATCAGGTTTCCAATTTAAAAATGGAACTACTAGTAGGCTTACATCATGTGACATTTAAAACACTGGCACCCATGAATTAATCAACTGTACATGGATTTAAGATACTATTTAACATGTGTTCACATTAAAAATAATAATAATAACGTAAAAGAATGCCTGTGATAACCCAGATGAAAACAGCTATTAACATCTTGGAATAAAAATTAACACAGTTTTAAAAAAAATTTTTTTAAGTATAGTTGATTTACAATATTTTATTAGTTTCAGATATGTACAGCAAAGTGGTTTGGTTGGTTGTATATATATATATATATATATATATATATATATATATTTTTTTTTTTTTAGATTCTTTTCCATTATAGGTTATTAAAGATATTGAATATATTTCCCTGTGCTATACAGTAAATCCTTGTTTATCTATAAAACTTTTTATTTCAGTTCTCATTGCTTGATTTTGACTATTTCATCCAAGAGATCTTCATACTTATAATCCTGTGCTGGGAATGGGAAAGCAATAAATAAACTCCATGTTGATAGTGAATTTCTTTTCTCTTCAGGAAGAGAAAGTTTCCTTGTTATTTTCTCCACAATTACCCTACATCCTCCCATGGTTTGTATGCATTTATCACACGCTCTTGCTTAAAGAATGAAATATTGAATTTCAAAGAAAAGGAAGCCAAAGATATTTCATGTGAAAATGAAAAGGTAAAAGTATTCTTCAGGCACTAGGGGACAAACTCTGTAGGGTCACAGAAACAACTTTTCCAGTCCACTCGATGCCATGGTATCTGGTCTACTCACAACCCAGCCAGTTCTAAGAAGGTTAAATTAAGACCTTCTCTTAACAGTGTCTCAAGCCAACTTTGAAACACATTTTCCCAAGACACAGATTGGGGTTTGGATGAGGTCAGAGCCCAGGAGGAGGCACTTCCTCCACACCCCCTTTCCTCTATCCCCCCTTATCCTGCTACTGCCTGAGGATGGAGCTTGCAAGGGCTTTAAATTACATGGCAGTGTGAGAGAGCCGCTACTATCTCTGGTATCCACCCCAGTCATCTGGACCAATTTAACAAGATGAAGTAAGAGAGAAACCACAGGCTCCTGTTCCAAGAATGCAGGCTTGAGCCACACCATCCCATCCACCGGTTTATAGCAAGCTCCTCCCGAAATGGACTCTGTCCTCTGGAAGGAGC